GGGACATGATGCGATGGTGAGAACTGCAGCAGCCAACCTCTGTTCATGAGGAACCTTGGAAACGGATGCAGCAGAAAGATAAATGAAACCTTGGTCCCTGGTACTCTGTGAAGTCGCCAAACTTGACCTGGCTCTTTTGCTGATGAACTTATTTCACATGGGAGAATCACCTTTAAATTAATTAAGCTATCACAATTGGGTTTTCATTACTAGCAGTTGAAGAAAATTTTTAACTGACACAGAATTATTAGGAAAGGCTTCTGTATTTTTCCCAAATGGCCCATATCAGTATCTCCTGTCTCACAGGGTCATTATGCAACATGAGCTGGATATTTCTCCCATTGATGGTGGAAACTATATCTCCTCCCTTTAAACTGGGGTAGACCTTTGTGACTGCCTCCACTAACAGAGTATAGTGGAAGTGGTGCTACATGACTTAAGGATAGATCATAAAAATGCCATGCACTTCCTCTTGGCTTTCTCTTGGGGGACACTCAGTCTTGGAATGCAGCCACCATGCTGTGAAAAAGCCCAAAACTTGCCCAGGCAAACGGATCACGTGGAGAGGCCACAAGTGTGTGTTCTGGCCAACAGCCCAAATGAGGTCCCAGATAACAGCCAGCACTAACCACCAGTCATGAATGATGACACTTAGGGTGATTCTAACCCCTGGCCATCAAGTTGCCCTTTGTCTTAAAGTTCTACCCAGATATCGGGGAGAAGAGACAGGCTCTCCTCACCTTGCCCTGTTCAAACTCCTGGCACAGAGAATCTGCAAGCATAATAACAAGGTTGTTCTACGCCACTAAGTTTTGGGCTCGACATCTGTGAGGACATGATACTTGAGCTGAACCATAATGAGGAGAAACTTCCTATGAGAAGATCACGGGTACAAGACTGCCAAGGCGGGGAAAGCAAGTGCAAAGGAAATGCATTTGTAATATCTGAAGAGCAGCAAGAAGGCCACGGCATGTGGGAACAACACACGTGGTAGGAGGCAGTGCCAGAGAGACAGACGGGGATCAGGAGCCTCTCAGGAGTTGGAGCTTCTCCTAGGGAGTCAGATGGTGATAACTCCCAGGGTTACTTCTCCCAATAGGCAGAATGGCTTCTGAAAAGGCCTTCAATGCTTTAGCCCAAAGGAGGAACCCATGGTAGGAATTTTCAGTTTTTGGTAGGTTTGGATTTTTTTTTTTTTTTTTTAGAATAAGAGTATTGAAGGTGTCCAAGGGACATAACTGTTTAAGGTCTATAATGAATCACTATATATAAGAAAAGGAATAAACCCTATAGCCTGGTACTTTAGGTACCTGGTTTCTGGACCAACCACTTGACCTCCAACCTGCCTTTTCAAACCTACCCATGTTCTAACCATGTGTGATGATGCACCATTCTCCAGACATATCATGGACCTTTAGGCCTATGAGCACTTCCATGCTGGACACTTGCCTAATGTGCCATCCTCCATCAACATCCTGGCCTGGTGGTCTCCTTCAAATTCTATCTTAAGGGCACCTCTTCTGACAATCTTCTTAGATACCCCAAGGAGGAATAAGTCTCTCTCTCCCCAGTGCTCCTGCAGATTTTGCACAAAACTGTGATTGTGCAAATTATACTTAACAGAATAGCATTACTGACTGTTTATATCCATTTCTCCTTCCCATTCCACCTTCCCCGCATCCCCCAACAAAAAAGGGACAGGTTCTGGGCCTTATTTATCATTGGGGCTCCAAAGCCCATCCCAGTGCCTATAGCACAGTAAAAATCCTGTGATGTCCCATCCAAAAGGAATAAGCTAGATGAATGGTTAGTGGTTTAATGGAAGGATGGATGGAAGGATAGGTGAATGGGTGGGTGGGTGGGTGGATGGATGGATGGATGGATAGATGGATGGATGGTAGATGAATGGGTTGATGGGTAGATAGATGGATGTGAAGTTTGACAAATGATTGGATGGGAGGATGGGTGGATGGGTGGGAGGATGGGTGGATGTCTGAACAGTGGATAAGCTGAGGGCAGATATGAATGAATGCAAAGATGTGCCATAAGGGGCATAGATAGGTTAAAGAACAGATGAGTGGGTGAGGATTTGATTATACAGATAGATGGGCAGGGGGAATGAATGTATTTATGACTGGGTTCCTAGAAGAATGGAAGGGGATATTTAAACTAGAAGTCAGCAAGGGCCACATAATAAATATTTTAGGCTTTGCAGGGGACATACAGTTCTGGTCATATATTCTTCTTTACCATTCTTCTCCAAATTATATATTTGACAAGAGTCTAGGGTCCAGAATATATGAAAAACTCATATCTTTTTTCTGAAGTATAGTTGATGCATTTTCATTGCATTTTTTCACAAACATTTACTTTTTTAATTAATTTATTTATTTTGAGAGGAGAGAGAGAACATGAGTGGGGGAGGGTCAGAGAGAGAGGGGGGAGAGAGAGAGAATCCTAAGCAGGCTCCTGATGTAGGGACTGAACTCCTGAACCATGAGATCATGACCTGAGCAGAAAGCATGAGCTGGACTTAACCAACTGAGCCACCTAGGTGCCCCTTTCGCCAACATTTAAAACACATAAAATCCATTCTTAGTTAATAGGCTACACAAAAACAGGATCTTGACCTTAAAACTCAAGTTCAGGTAACCAGAACTTATAGTAATCCCTGAGCTAGCTCTGTCTACCATTTGACAAGCACAGGGTTGAATCCCAAACACAGAAGGCCAGAAGATGCCCCCTGCACCACCCCCTCAACAACAGGATAATGGACGTCACTAGCTGGGGAGATTCAGAATGCACAGTCAGCCCTTCCCATCACTGTGCGGCCTTGGGAGTTCAATAGCATCAAATCTATAAGGAGGAATTCTGAGAGAGAACCTGCCAATCTCAGTAATCAGAGATGGATCCAGATGGGGGAGTGGTGGATGATGTCTCATGGTTTACAGGTCTCCTTGAGGCTCATGTACCCGGCTAGGACTGGTAGTCACATGGGGCTTTTCTGCCACTTCCACCCCCATAAACACTGACATCATCAGTGTAGCTCTGGATCACAATTTCCTGCAACTAGCTTTTGCGTTGTGACTTTTGTGGGCTCGTTTTTTTTCTTTCCTCAGGATATTATTATGGATTACCAAAGGTTTCAGCATCTTTCCAACTGGCAGGAAGCAGTGCAAACACAGATGGAAGTTTCCCAGTTAAAACCCTCTTAACAAAGTCATAAAACAAAAAGCCCAGCCTCTCGGTCATGCTGCCAGCTCGGAAGCATGTGGAGGAGAAGAAAGCAGGAGAGTGATCTTCCTGCCCTTCCTGAAGAGCTGTTTGGTGTAAGAGGGTGGTACATCACATACCCGAGGACCTTGGGGTTTTAGAACACACACAAAGCTCTCATCCTGAAGGGCAGAAATGAGGGGCTGGGCGCACAGACTGGAGTCGTGCTCTGTCCTGCTTCCAGGGACCTGGGTGCCCCTGCTCACATGGCAAGGGGACACCAGGGTGATGTCACTGGCAGGGGCCTCAGCTGGATTCAGCAGGAGGCCTGGCTTGGTGCTGCATGCTCTCCTGCATTCAGAGTGGTCTTTGCTGCAAAGAACCCCAAAGGCAGTCGGAAATGCAGGATTAACAGCCAACAGTGCACTGGGAATACAGGGACCTGGGTGTTTGCCCTGGCTCAGTCACTCTCTCTGGGCTTCCATATCACCAGGGACAAAATGTCCAGGTGGACATTCCCAGTTCTGAAATTCTTGGATAGATATGATGTACTATACAAAACAGTATGGAATCAGATGCTAAACTACTAGGGGACTGGAAATGGCTTAGAGACCTTAGGGAGTAAGTGCCCTGATGTTTACTCACTTCCCATGTCTCTGCTGTACCTTCTTCCCTCAGCCCTCCTTATGACTCAACCCAAAAGTCACCTCCTCAGGGAAGCCTGCCTAGATTCCCCCAGGTTGTCAGTTCCTCCCCTGTGCCCCAGATAATTATTCATTTACTGATCTGTCTCCTTCCCTGGCCAGATTGCTTCTGGGGAAGGGCCTGAAGGATCTGACTTTCTATTCACCAGCTCTTGTCGCACAGCAAGTATTCAAAAAACGTCTGTTGAACTGAACTGACTGCATAGGGAGACCTTCCAGGCAGTCTTGTGGGTTGTAAAGGGTGGCAGTGCCTGATACCCAGGGAGTCCTCAAGTCTGGCCTCCTGTCTTCTGAAAGTCCAGATGATTTCTTCACCACTGGCTCAAGTGTTATTGCCCCAGGGCTGGGACGACTGAGAAAGCCTCTCTACACCCAGCTGCTCTGTCATTGTGCAAGCATATCACCTTCTCCATATGGACGTAAACATATAGCACATGCATGCACTCATACACACACATGCACACACCCCCCACATGCACCTACACATGCATGCATACACATGCACACACACAAAAGTACCCACACATGCACACACGCATGCACCCACACATGGATGCACACACACAAATGCACATGCATGTACCCACACATGCACATGCATGCACCCACACACACACAAATGCACATGCATGCACCCACACATGTACACATGCACATGCATGCACCCACACATGGATGCATACACATGCATACACACACAAATACACATGCATGCACCCACAAATGCATACTCAACGTGCACACACAGCAATGACCCAGAACTACATCTGCCCTCCTTCTGTTGTCCTCAACAAGAGGGCTGAGGAAACTGCAAGCACCCTTCCAGAACCCTCAACACATCCCCTGTACACCCCCCCTTCTGCGCAGAGAGGCATACTCATGGGAAGCGCAGTGCTATTCATCCCCTGAAGCACATGAATCAGGAGACAGACGTCCACGAAAAGCCTTGGTGAACATATGTCTGCTGCCAAGCCTCTGTTCATCAAAATCACTTCTGTCTCCTCAATGCATTTTTGCCTCTTATATATATCATAGCCTTATAAAAGGGCAATTAGTTTTGGATAATTAAAATTATTAACTCACCAGATGTAAGTGCTGAAGCATCTCCACGTATCTGCAGAGGGAAAGAGGGTTGAGTTTGCATTAATTCCTATCTTGTTTAAGCTGGGGAGGGGTGATGTTCTGCTAACAAGCTCAAGGCCACAGGCAGCTGCTTGGGGACTCACGCTTTCTCTGAAGACAGCAATTCCTGTGCAATGACATGGGCTCTGGACTGTCCTTCCACCTGCAAGGAAGGAACAGAGAGATCAGGAGGGGCAACACCAATTCAGACAGGGTGAGGGAGACCCCAGCACTGGGTTTACAGAAGGACCTCCAGGCTGCTGGAGGCAGATTCCATGTACCTCTCAGACCATTCCTGGCACTTACTACCTGTGAGATCTTACTGTACCTCAGATTCCTCATCTGTAAATGCGGATATTGATAGCATCTAACTCAGGAGGCTATTGAGCTAATGCCCAGCACACTGTCCAGCACACAGAAAGTGCTCAGCAAGTGGCCACTATCATGACTTTATGACCCTGGCCCAGTAACCTTGAACAACCTGTGGTTCTCTGTGTATAGAGAGCTCTCTTACTTCTTTCTTTTGCGTGTGCTGTCCCCTTCCCCTTCTCTGCCTGGCTAATTCCCAGCTATACTTTAAGAGTTAGCAATGGTATCTATGGCCTCCTCCAAGGAGCCTTGTTTTGAACCCCTTTATGAACCAGCTGGGTTAGGTACCCTTTCTGGGCATTCTCCTCTTAGGACACCCCTCCTAGAGGGCAGGAACCATAAATGTTCACTGTCACCCCTGCATGACCAGTACCTCACATACAGCAGGCTAGCTTTTGTTGACTGAAAGACAAATGAGTAAATGAATGGATGAATGAATGTTCATTCCACTTTGGAAGCACTAACTCTCCCAGCTGACCTCAGGAGATGAGCCATTTAACCCCTCTGAGGCCCAACTTCTGCACCTGTAAGATCTGGGAATAAGTGAGATTATGTCTATAAACAGGAAGGATGGGCGGGGGCTGAGGCAGATGACTGGGCCTTCTGCCACAAGCAGGCCCCTCCTCTGTGGCCCCAAACCTGCCAGACACCAGGCACAGCTGCTGGCTGGGATCCAGAAGAGCAAAGACACTATGGGGCAGCCTGACAGAACAGATGGTAGACACCAGGAACGTGCAGGCAAGGCTGAGGTCAAGGTGGCCCACAGTGGAGCAGAGGGCACTTGGATGGGACACCTGGCTTCTGGTTCCAGGTCTATCACTGCCTCCTGGGGCCTCTAAATGTGTGAATGTGTGGTAAGTGACCTCTAAATTCCCTTTTGTGCTAAACCTGTGTTACTAAACTCAAGGGGCCACTGGTCCAGTGAATGATCTACTCTAATGACTAGAAACTCACTACCTGTTAAGAGAGCAATTACATGGTATTATGGTTAAGAATACGAACTCTGGAACTAGGCAAGTCAAGCTCAAATCCTCCTTCTGCCTTTTGCTAGTCATGTATCCTCTCTACACCTCAATTTTCCTGTCTGTAAAATAGGCACAACAGGATAAGGGTGCCTAGCACCTGCATACTGTGAAGATTAAATGAGTGAATGTATATACGAGAGAGATATCTATCTCTATGTCTATGCAGATATATCTCACTTGGAACAGTGCCTGGTGCACAGTAAACACTACAGAAATAATGGCTATCATCATCTTTGTGGTTTTTGTTGTTGTGGCAGAAGCCAGGGACAGAACCAAGTGCTCAGGGATGGAATAAGAAAAACAATTTACAGGGTCAGGTAGGGGTGAGGCCTCAACTGCAAAATGAAAGCTGAACCACTCCTCTGAGAGTAGCAGTTGAAGCAGTAAAAGCAAGTGCACTCTGGGATGAAGAAGCATCAAGTTCAAGTCCTGGCTCCAGCATTGTGTGACAGCTGGCAAACCATTTCCTCTGAGCCTCAGTTTTTTCATCTGAAATGCAGTGGAGAATAATCAACCCCATGCACTCCAAGACCGTGCACAGGTCTTTTTGATGGGGAATTCCTGACTCAAGGCCTTTGTATCTGCTGTCCTTTCTATGTCTGATGCTCTTCCCCAGGTCTTTTCATTCTTACTTTCTGACTTCTTCAGGTCAAAAGTCACATCCTCAGTGTGGCCAACCATGACCACCCGACCTAAAGACCACCCAAAGTTATTCTCTGCCGCAGGGTTTCTCAGCCTCGGCACTACTGACATTTCAGGCCAGGCAGCTTTGGTTGCAAAGGCTGCCCTGTGTACTGTGGGCTCATTAACAGCATCCAGGGCTTCTACCACTGGCCGGCAATAGCAGCTGCCACCCCAAGTTGTGACAACCAAAAATGTCTCTAGACATTGTCCAATGTCTTCTAGGGGGCAAAATCTCACCCCTGGCTAGGTAAGAGCCACTTGTTATAACTTTTTATCTGGGTGTGTTCTTCTTTATAGCAGCCATATTACCTAATGTTTTCCTTGCACACAAGGTATGTTCAGTCAACATCTGAATCAATATATGAAATGAGATCCAGTGCCTAGAACACAGTAGGCATTCAATAAATGAGTTCCCTTCTCTAACTACTCCATCCTTAACAGTTTCTTGGCTGAGAAGCATAGTGTTTTTAGAAAATTCATTCTCTCCAAGGACACCTAACGAGGACAGGACTTGGGTCCACAGTCAGTCTCCCTCCTGTATCTCCTGCTGCCTCTTGGCACGCTGTCACAGTGTCCGGGGAGCGAGGCCTCACCTGGCCTCCCGCCCTTCCTACCAGCGCCGAACTGTGACTCACTGTCTGCCTCCTGCATCTGCAGGGCTAGCGTGGGGCTCTGTGGACAACAGCAGCTCAACCCTCCCAGGCAGGGGCTCCTGCAGACTCCTACATGTGAAAAGTCTTTGCAAACAAAACCCTCACACTGGAAAATATATTCTGCCAGGACAGGCCTTAACAGCTAAGGAACACTGTGGTCAAGCTTCCACCAAGAGAATTACTTTATAGACAAAGGACAGGGGTCAGAAGCTCTCAAGCTCAGGTTCTTCTCCTGTAAAATAAAGACAAGATGACCTCTCATCTTCCAGGGGCCTGTGATTCAATTTTCACTTGTTATCCAGCGTGATGCTGAGAGCCTATGCTCCCATGTCAGAATGCCTGGGTTCGAATCCCGGGCTCCATCCCTTCCAATATCTACCTCCCTGGACAAGTGATTCCTCTTCCATGAGCCCCAACTGTAAAACCGTGATGATAATAATATGCACTTAATAATAGGACCACTAGCACTTATTGAACATTTCACATGTGCTAAATATGGCTCTAAGCTTTTTACATGCATTCTCATTGAATCCTCTCAACAACCTGTGGGATAAGGAACCATTTTTATCACCTCCATTTTACAAATAAGGAAACTGAGGCACAAGTAAGTTCTAACCTTTGCCCTAAGTCACTGCTAGTAAGTGGCAAAGCCGCGATCCAAGATCAGGAAGTCTGGCTTCAACAACCAAGCACTGAACAGTGTGTCTGGCACACTGGAAGTACTCAGTAAATGGCATCTCTGCTCATTATAGACGGCAGGTTTTTCAAGCTGGGAAACACCTATCCTTCACCTGTACTATAAAGGTAGTAACAGGAGTCTAGCACTCCCGGGGGAGCCCAGGCTAGTTCTCTGAACTCAGCTCTCTTTGATTTCCAGCCCTCAGAGCAGTGTCTGCCATGGTACATAGGAAAGAGAACTATGCTGGAAGTCAGGATGCCTGGACCCACATCCCAGCCTGGCCACGGGGGGCTGTGTGACTCAGGGCAAGCCCCTCTTAGGTGACTCAGTGTCCTCATCTGGAAGGGTGAGATGATATGATGGATGGGAGTGGTCAGGCCCACCCCAGCTTTTAGAGTTGTTGTCATTACCATTGTTACAGTCTCGAAGCTGTCAGGGGCAGACTTCTGGTAGGGCTAGGGCACGGGCCGTTTTGCACGTCCTCCCCAGCCCCTCCTGCCAGACGGGCAGACTCTGGGTGGGACGTACGGGGCCATCCTGCCTTAGTGCCTCTGTCGATGATGGATGTGTCTTCACCAGCAGGACAAGAAGGGGGCCTGGCAGGCCATGTGCCCGAGGCTCTCCTCAGAAGCTGCTACTGGGCGTTGCCCAACTGGGCCATTAATATAGATGTTTGTTTAACCAGGAAATGAACTCTGAGGTTGACGGCAGTGTCCAGGGACAGACTTCTGGGAACAGGGTTCCTCCCAGGAATGTGGGGGCTGGGGGCGCCAGGGCCCGTGCTATCGCGTTTCTCAGGCTGTGGGTGTTATATCAGGCTGCCGCTGGCCCCTCTGCCCAAGGCCGAAGCAGCTTATCTTCCCTGTTCCCCAGGGCTGCCCAGCCCTGCACTTCCTCCCCGGGCCCCAAGCAAACTAGCCGGTCAGTGCGGCCTATTCTGAGACCAGGTTGGGAGGGCTAGTCCTCCATTAGGGACCCTCCTGTTTGCAGTCTCAGAAAGAGCTGGCAGTCCTAGTCCTCTGTCTCCATGCCTCAGTTTCTCCAGCTATGAAATGGGGATGGGGGGCTTAGCCTCCTTCTAGAAGAGAAGTTCCCCAAGTGTGATCTGAGAACCTCTGGGGTTCTGTCTCCCTTTTCTGACCACTTATCTGTGAAGCTGGCCCAAACAACAGTCTGACAGACTGAGCACGAAGCAGCCAGGTCCAGCTGTCTTCTAGGGAGCCGACATGGTGAGTATTTGCAAAAATGGAAAACGCATGCCACACTCCTCATTAAGTCTGAAAAGTTACTCTTCATATGTCAACATGCAGTGAACCTATTAATATTTTTAAATGAATTAAAAGATGTTTAATTTTTTTCTGTGTTATCTTTTCATGTGGTACATACTGACTGATAAAACTCATAGAAACAAAAACTCTTTGGGGTCTTCAATCATTTTTAAGAGGAAAGAAGTGGGAGACCAAAAGGTTTTGAGAGCCACTGTTCTAGAGGTTGTTACAAAGCTCATATAGGCCTGTAGATGGAAAAGCTCCTCATTCTCAGTGAAGAACTACAGAGGAGAGAGGCACAGCTATTACTGTGCAGTAGTCAAAGTAATATTATTATTGTGAGAAGCAGGCCCGTGACCCCCAGCTTTATGCCCTGGCCCTCAGGATGGCCCCAAGTAGGCCCAGAGGCCACACAGTCCTTCTACTTTGCAGAAGAGGAAGAAACCACCCCCAAAACTCCTGCTTTCTAACCATCTTCCCTGCTT